AAATGTGACTTTATTTTTTGATTTTTTTCTGTACTAGGGATTGAACTCAGGACCCTGCACTTTCCAGGCATCTTTTCATATATTTTAAAACAGTTTATGATCTAAGACATTGTTTACATGAACTAAATTGTTAGTAAATATTATGGTACTATAGTAAATGGCCATGGGAAAGCAATGACCTAATTTCATCATTGTGGAGAACCACCTGGGCAACTCTCCGTGAAAGAGGAGTAATTGTCTCCTTTTTGGCTGAGCCTGATCCTATCTCTGTGTACTGATATATACAGAGCTGGCTATGACTTTTCCTTATCCTTTCAATTGGACTTGAGCAATGCATATCAGTCCAGCCCAGGTGCTGATGGTAGTCTTTGAAGCAAAGACCACAGGGCGCCCCAAGCCCCCTGCTGCGGCCATGTGAGAGCCCAGACAAGGCTGGATGAAGAGTTAGTGCTCCATGCTGGGAGTGAGCCTTGAGATAAAAGGCTATGACCTCCCAGTGCTTAAATGATTACACGTCAGAGCTGAAACACAGACCCCAAAACATTAGATACTATCTCAGTTGTGTCATGCAAATTACTCCTTCTGCATATTCTGCTCCCTTTGTGTTGCAGAGATGATTTCAGGCCTCTTACCTAGCCCAGGTAAAGGCTCTCACATATTCCTTTTTCACAAGTTAATAAAACTCGGGTTTGCCCCTTGGTCAAGGCCTTTGTTCAAGTTAGCTATCACCCTGGCTAGACTTAGGACCCCTTGGCTCCCCAAAATTGCAAATATGCCTTAGTGTCTTTATTCTCGCCATGGGTTGCACTGGAAGTGGTAGACTGGAATGAACTCATTAGAATTCTAATAATTAGGGCTGGGGAGATAACTCAGTAGTCCTGAGTTCAATTCCCAGTACAAAACAAAACCAAACCCCCCCTAGAATTACTGTTCCATGGGATTACAAATATAAACTTCCTGGGCCAAGATGAGGACCAGGAAGGGCTCACTTAACATAATTTTCTCCTGTTCATGAAGTCAATATAGCACTCAGATTTTTAACGTATTTCCCCCTTTCTCACCCTTCTCAAGTATGATTCTTAGCATTTTAGTAATGACTGATAAACATGCTTCCTTTTACTTTATTTATTTTTATTTTTTTGGCAGAACCAGGGATTGAACTCAGGCCCTTGCACTTGCCAGGCAAGCACTTATTCTACTGAGCTATATCCCCAGTCCCTCCCTTTACTTTTAAGACAGTTTTATTGAGCTCACATAGAACACAATTCATTCGTTTAAAATTGACAGTTCCATAGTGTGTACTCAGAAAGTTTTGCTATCATTGTCACAGTCAATTTAGGAACATTTTTATCTCGTCCCCAAAGATAGTCTTTACCCAGCAACAGTGGATCCATATTTACTCCCAACTCTGTTCCATGCCCTTCAACTCTAGGCAACTTCTAATCTGTAGGTGACAAAAAACCTTCTTGGGGGGCCAGGGAGATGGCTCAATGGAATAAGCGCTTCCCTGGCAAGCGCAAACACCTGAGTTCAATCCCCGGTTCTGCAAAAAACAAAATAAAATAAACAAACAAACAAAAAAAAAAAAAACAAATCAAAAATGTTCTTGTGCCTTACAGAATTTCTGTCAGCATGTCTGCTGAAGTAAACTGACAATAGACAAACAGGAGAAAAGGAATGTGAGAGTCCAATAGCCTGGTGAGATGTAGAAGTTTAGATGCCCACTTTCCTGTTTTTTTTTTTTTTTTTTTTTTTTTTTTTTTTTTTTTTTTTTTTTTACCAGGGATCGAACTCAGGACCTTGCATTTTCCAGACAGGGACTTATGCCACTGAGGGTTTTTGTTTGTTTATTTGTTTTTTTGTACCAGAAATCAAACTCAAGACCTTGTGCTTGCCAGATAGGTGCTATGCTGCTGAGATACATCCCTAGCCCTTCCTTAGTTTTCTACTATGAAAATTTTATAGACAGGAGAAGAAAAAATAGTCTTGTAGAGAGAAGTAAGAAGACAAAGTAATGGAGAAAAACATTTCTTATAGACATTTTACATAAAAACTTGGCAAACAGAATGCATATAAGTAATCTTTAGTTGTGGAGCCATTCTCTTAATAATGATGCATTTTTGTAAAGGTACTTTTTTAAGGTAATTTATTTTTGGTATGTGGAGGAAAGATTGTTCTGTAATATTTGAAAGAATGGGAAACTCACAAGTCTGACAATTCCATTTTTAAAATTGTGTCAAGGCTGGTGAGATAGCTCAGCGGACTAAAGCACCTGCTTAGGCAAGCTTAGGCAAGTACAGGGACCTTGGTTCAATCCCTGGTCCCACCACTCCCAGTCTTGGTGGCTGGCTCAGAGGAGTCTGGGGCACAGCCAGCATGGCATGTGGTGCGGGGTGGGGGGGATATAACCTGGGTCCTTGAGCTTGCCTAGGCAGGAGGATCACTATGAGTAGAAGCTGCATAGTGAGACTCTGTAACAACCGATACATTTAAAAATGGAGAAGAAAAAAGTATAAATATATACAGTATATTTTTGATGATAGCACACATAATAATTTATTAATATGCAATATGTACTAGAAAACAATCCCTCCAACAGGAGTGAGTTAGGCACTAACAGACAATGATGATTCTTAAGGAAAAGCTACCAAAGATGCCAGAGATTCTCTAGGTCTCAGGCTGGAGAAAATGGAAACGTCTCAGGATGCTTAAAAGAAAGCTCACGAGGGCCGCAGAGATAGCTCAGCAGTCTAAGCGCCTGCCTAGGCAAGCTCAAGGACCTGGGTTCAATCCCCACCCCTTCCCCCACATGCCATGCTGGCTGTGCCCTGGACTCCCCTGAGCCAGCCACCAAGACTGGGCGTGGTGGCACACTCCTGTACTCCCAGAGCTGGGGAGGCTGAAACAGGAGGATCACTACAAGCCCAAGCTACCTAGTGAGACCCTGTACCAAATACATACAATTAAGAAAAAAAAAGTCCAAAGAAAGCCCATGAACCCAGAGCCTTTGCACCGTACTACACAACCTACCCTTTTTTCATTTTGCAGCAAAGTGTAACTTCATTGTTCAGGCTAAGCTTGAATTTGGTGGTCCTCTTGCCTTAGCCTCCCAGAATGCTGGGATTGCAGATATGCACCAGGATGCTTCGCTATTAGCCTTCTTTTAAATTACTTAAGGATGTGTGGTACACATCTGTGGTACCAGAACTTGGGAGGCTGAGGCAGAAGGATTGCCACGAGTTGGAGGCCAACTTGAATTGCTTAGGGAGACCCTGTCTCAACAAAGCACAGTATAAAAAATAGTCACTTTTATTATTATTATTTTTTTTATTTTTTATTTTTTTTGCGGAATTGGGGATTGAACTCAGGTCCTTGCACTTGCCAGGGAAGCGCTTATTCCACTGAGCCATCTCCCAGGCCCCCCAAAATAGTTACTTTTAAAAAGTTACTTTTATAATTGAAACTTGTGTTTCCCTTCCTTAAAAACAGCAGGAAGTCATCTTGTTATATTGAGAGTTTTGAGATAAATTTATAAAAACTTTTGTTGAGGGCTGGGGAAGTAACTCAGTAGTCTAAGTGCCTGCTTGACAAGCACAAGGACCCGGGTTCAATCCCCAGTACCACATGCCAGGCATGGTGGTGCATATTTATAATCCCAGCCCTAGGGAGGTTGAGACAGGAGAGTCACTACAAATCCAAGCTGCATAGAAAGACCCTGTACCAAATAAATAAACTTTTGTTGAAAGTTTTCTATGTGACTTGATTTCTTATCACAAAAGTAATTTTAATAATTAACCTTTTTTCCTGGGCTCATCCTCCATAACAGAAACAAACAAACAAACAAACAAACAAAAAGGAATAAATA